TTTTGGAGAAATCTAGAGCACTAAGGCAATTTGTGTGGTGCATATCTCTCTTTGTACTTTTCTAGATTGGGTCAATTTTATCTCATTCTTCTCTTTGTTATCTTTGCTATAACATTTGTTTTAAGTGTTTTTATTTTCAAAGTCCCCAAGATTTTTTAATTTAAGGAAAAAGCTCACTAGGTCATTTTGGAGGAAATTTTGTCTCCAGAGTACTAAAGCCTAACTTCAACAAATTATTGGGAAGTTTTTATTCATTCAAAAATTCTAAAATTTTAATATGTTTTTTCCATATATCTCCCCTATTTGCTTGTAATTTTTTAGATTGATTGGACAAATGGATTTCTCTAGAGAGGGTAGACAAACTACTAGATGCAAAAATAGAACACATTTTTCAGCATTGACTGCACCCTTAATGAAGAGGGACATTATAACCCCCTTGATGAAGTCTCAATTAGGTAATTCATTGCACTCAATTGGCATGATAATCTATATGGCATGTATACTCCCCTAACTAATGTGGATTTGGAAATTAAGCATTCTTTTATGCAATCATTGCTAAAAAATCATGAATTGCGGATGTTCATAGATTCTTGCGATCCCTATATCTTTTTTGTAGCACAATGAAATCAATAAGGAGCATGTAGTAAAGTCCAATCTTGATTTCTTGTATTTTTTCTTGAGGGTAAAGCCAAATATTGCTACATGAATCATCCTCCTTATATTAGGGTGCATAAATAGAATCAACTTAGGACATTATTTCTTAAGAAGTTTATCCCTTCTTCTAAATTATCTAATATGAGAAAAGAGATCATTAGTATGGTACAAGGCTTTGATGAGCCTTTCTATGAGTACTATACTAGATTTCAAGGATTGCTAGCAAAGTGTCCTCATCACTAAGTACCTAACGAGCATCTTGTGTAATATTTCTATGATGGTTTGGTAGATAGAGATAAGATCATGATAAATGCCGCTTCCAATAGTGCTTTGGTTGACTTGTCACCTAATAAAGCTTGGGAATTGATAGAGAAAATGGCTCAAAGTTGTGCCTAATTTGGGAGTCTAAGTTAGCTTCGGTTAACAGTAGCCCTCTCATCATTAGCCCTTCTCAAGTTGATGAGATAGCCTATAAGGTTGGCAAAATGCTTGGTCCTACATTTAATGCTAATGTAGTTAATGTGTCAAATGTGAGTGTGCCTCCTAATACTTATAATGCCCTTATACCATTATCTAGCATCATTTTTAATTCTTCTATGTATGTAGAGGCATGTTGCCCTAGGCAAGATAATTATGCTTGTGATGTGAATGCTCTTTATAGGAAAACCAAGGCAATCAAGGAGGACAATATGGTAATACTTGCAATGCAAATTGGAGGACTCATCCCTATCTTTTTTATGGGAATCCACATGAAGATTTACAAGAGACAAATCAAGGAGGAGAGTACAATACTAACCAAGGCTGAAATACTAACTATGGTCAAGATTGTAATCCTTCATACTATTAAGGTAAAGGTAATACTTTTAACCCTCCAAACTTTAATAGACAACTTGTGCCAATTGATGGTTCATCTTCGTTTTCTCAATTGTCTACTAATTCTAAATTGGATATTATTATTAATGAGATGAATAATGATAAGCAAAATTTCAATATACAATTTTCACAACAATAATAGTTTAATGCCGCCACTTTTATTAGGCTTAATAAGTTAGATGATGTGCTTGATGCTCTTTACAAGCATATTAGTTCTTCTACTAATCAAGTTGCTTCTTGCAATGCCTAATCTCCTTCACTCCCTGATAATACCATGGTTAATCCCAAAGCACCTATAAATGCAATTGAACTTAGGAGTGGTAAAAGGGTTGGTAATGATGATGGTGATGTTTTGTATGAAGTTGTTGATGCTGAAAAATCTGAAAAAAATGATAAAGGATCCTTCTTGCTCTAATATAAGTAAAGATGGATATAATAATAGTGATGATGATGTGGAGCAAGTCTATAAGGAACTAATGCTAAAAGATGGCCAAGATAAGCTAGTGGAATGTGCTGGAAAAAATTCCAGCACCACTGTACATACTAAAAATCATTTAGCCAATGCTCAAAAAGGGAAAGAAAAGGCTCAAGAGGAGATACAAAGCAAGAAAATAGTGAGGAAGCTTCTATTTCCTCAAGCCCAAGTGCCTCGGCCTCTAAATTCCAAGAATATGCATGATAAAGAGGTAATAGACTTCTTTGCTAAAATTCAAGTAAATGTGCCTTTATTAGATGTGAAGAATTTTCTTAAACATGCTAAGTTCCTTAAAGATTGTTGCATTAATAAGAGGAAGTCTATTCCCAATGCTAGAGGACAATTACCTTATTTTATTAGTATAATCATGAAGCCACAATTACCTATTAAGTGTGAAGACCCTGGATCCTTACTATTCCTTACATGATTGATAACCTGGGCTCCTATTGGTTTGGGTTCTGCAATTAATTTCATGCCATATTCCATATATGCATCTCTTAAACTTGATTGCATTTATCCTACTAACATGATTTGCCAATTTATAGATAGGAGTGTTAGGAAGCCATATGGAATTGCAAAAGATTTAATTGCGAGTGTTAAGAATTTATTATTTCTTATGGACTTCTATGTGTTGGATATGAATAATAAGGTTATGGGGAAGATATCTTGATTTTGGGTAACTTTATGAGGACTGAACGAACATTTATTTTAAAATATGGGGATGATAAAGTTAACTTCAACATTTATGATGCAATAAAAAGGCCTTTTGAGGATTATGCCCTACTTGATGTTAATGCCATTGACACTTTGCTTGATAAAGCTATCGAGGACCATGCATTTTCTTAACTTGATCATGAGTCTACACTTGCTACCACTTATGTCCCTTACTCTTGCATTGATGCCTATGTGTGCTAAAATTGCTTAGATGTTGATACATGCTTGCAAGATACCTTCTCTCATGAATTGTTAAATGATGATAAAATTATCTACTCCGCTTGAAATTCATAGGCATAAAGAGGGTATTGTTTCTTGTGATATAGGTACATACCCTAAAGGGGCTAATTATAAATAATTTTCTCTACTCAAGCTTGATATCTAAGAGGTTCCCAAGCTATTAAAGAAAAATTCTACATTTGAGACCATTAAGGCCATGCTTCTATTGGCATATTTAAAGAGATCGTGGCAAGTGGTGAGGATGTGAACAAAGAAATGAAGATAGCTCAAGAACTAAAGGAGGTTAACTTGCATAATTCTTCTATTGCTTTTCATGATACTCTTAGTGATAGTCTGTCTTCCTTACTTTCTTGTTCTTGTGATATTGATAATTTATGCATGATTTGTCAAGGAACTTTTTCCTCCCAATTGAATATATTTTTTTAGACCAAAATATGCTTGAGGAAAGTTCTTTTATTGATTTTATAGGTTTACAAGTTGATATGATTGAGAATACTCTATGCATTTGTAAAAATTGTTACTGAAGAGGAAGAGCTCATGGCTAGTCAAGAAGGAAAGCAACAAGTTCACGCTTTGGAATTTCAAGATTTACCTTACACTAATGAAAAGCTTGTTCTTGATTTTTCTAAGGAGATTATTTCATGTGATCTTGCACCAGATAAAGAAAGGGAGTTATTTAATTTGAATTTTATTGATGGTGTATTAGATCTTTTATCAAATGATTTATACGATTGCATTATCTAGTTCATCTCTTGTGCAAGATCACTATTTTATTGCTTATCTTTTAAGACCTTTGCCAATTGAACCTAGGCCTCTGGATGGAATCAAAGGAGGATTCTATCATTCAAGCTCTTCGAAGGGATAAAAGTTTCTCATTAGAGATTCCATCTTCTATTTTCAGCCTCCATGATTGGCTTTAAGGTCATATCTCTCCAACTCACACTCTTTATTTGCTTTAACTATTCACTTAGCACAAATGTTGAGCACTTTCTAGTATATGCTTGCTGACACTTGTGCACACATGTGGATCAATTGATTCTTTCTTGTGATTGTGCTTTGTGTAACATCCTAAGTTTTCAAGTTGGGAATTAACAATGTTTCCAAGGATATTTTGGTCAATTTAGATAAATTACTGATTAATGATATTTATGGAAGACTAATATAGTTTTTAAACCCTTCGATGGCTTAGAAAAAGACTAGGTCAAAGTTTGAGCTAGCTATGGAATAGAGGAAGGTTTAAATTTATAAGGAACTCTCTATGCCATGCATCATGGTGGGCATGTCAATACGCCATGGCACACGTGTAAAATCTTCACTTATCATGTCACACCCCAAAATTTAAGGTGTGACCGGCACGAAATATGTGTGTAAAACCCATATCCTTTAAGCCTTGAACAAATATACTTTCATCCATACAAAACTATAGGCACACACACACACACACACACACACACACACACACATATATATATATATATATCTATATATTTATATTTATTATTTATTTTTTTATTAGAATTTTCATACAAATAAGACTTCCTGAAATGTATGACAAAGAACAATAATAATCAAATAAAAGGATCTCGCTCCCTACTAACATATATACAATCTTTAAAGAAAGATGAGAATCCTACCTACATTATACGCGAAGCAATAGGACTAGGCTATGAAATTTATATAAGGTTCAAATTTTTATCAAGCAGAACTTTTTTGAAATAATTCTTTCACTCCACTTTAGCAATAAAATGCCTCAAGTAACACCTTCATATACAAGTTCAACTTATACTACCTGAGGCCAAAAATATATTTTTTAGTGAATAACGCCCCAACAATAAATAATAGAACATAAATAAAATAAAAAGTTCGAAATAGATATGTAAGTTAAAGAAACAAAAACTTCCGTAAAAATTCAATAAGCTTCATAATAAAATTTCTCTATAAAATTTAAAGAAAATCTCAAATCATTGAACTATCATAGCAAATAATAATATCACTTGATTTCAGGAAAGCAAATAAATGAAATAACTATTTATAAGGAAATTACTAAATAAAAATCAATGGAATATAAAATTATCAAATAATTGGATTCATAATTATAGGGAGAACAATTAACAAATGTGGACACACAATCCACAAAGGTAACTAACCAAACACGGTTTATGCCACGAAAACAAACATGGACACATAGTACACGAGGGTAAGGAACCAAACGCGGCCAAAGCCACGAAACAAATGTGAGTACGATGCTCATGAATAACCATCCCTCCGTTCCACATGCGTTGGCCATCGTATGGGGCTAGCACCTCCTATAAACACCCTGCTAGCTAGATGTGCCATGGCGCGCCAAGAGCTAACGGAACTGCCGTTAGCAATTAGTGTTCTATATAAAGTCCCTTTTTTAAAATCAATTTCAAACATACAAGAAAATCATCACTTTCAAGATACAGTTCTCATTCTTAAAATCAAACTCGCATGAATACTTTTAAGCATTAAAACTTGCCAGAATTAAATTTCATATCCAATGCTCATGCTTGTATTTATTGAATAAAAAAAATTTCAACGTCGAACTCACATGAATCATTCTCTGTATTAATCTAATATTTGATAAAATAAAAATCTCATAATCAAAGTTCAAACTTGACTTAATTGATCAAATAACATTTCAAATTTGGTAAAGCTAATTCTCAAAATAAAGAAATGTTAATTAAAAAATATCTAATAATTGCATTAATGCTATTAAAATAATTTCTAGAAAAATGTAATATTTTAATAAAGGAAATTTTGATTGAAAAAAAAATCAGTGGGAACACTATCCACTTACCTAAGATATTTTCAAATGTTAAAAGTCACCCTTTATAGCTTTAAACGAATCTTCTTTGCCACTTCAACAATGATGTCCCTTCTCTAAATCTCCTATTTAACATATAATAAGGTCTTAATGGACTCTCAACAAACCTAATAAAATTTTCTTTCATATTAACGAAAGAAAAATATAAATATAATAAATTTGAAACTCTTGAATCAAGATCTATACATAAGGATTTCTCCATAATCATTAAATTCTTAAATCAATCCAATTTATACTTTAAATCCTTCGATCCTTATAGTACTTTACACACACACACACACACACACACACTTTTCCATCCGAGACTTTGTTTATATTATACTTATCCATTTAGTTCGCCTCAGGCACAAATAGCTAAATTTTAATCGAAGTATATACATGCGTGCACACCCAAATTTTTATCATCCTAATATTTTGAAAATACTACAATCCCCCATTTTCTCTTATGGCATCCCAAAATAAGTTATAAAAGCAAACATCATGATTTATAAATCACCAACAATAAAACTCCATGAATTTCATTTGTCCCACAATAATTTCATAATAAATCTTTACTTGCAAATTTTCAAGTTAAATTCAACCAAACAGCACCCCAAAACAATCATACTTCTCATTATTTTTAATACTAAAAAATAAAAATAAAAGAAATAAATAATCAAGCAAAACCCTCATAACGGGCATTTTATCAAACATTTTGCAAGAATGAATCTTTTTCTTTCTTTCTCTTCTCTTTTATGCAAATATCATCGCAACAATTCCTTTCTAATAATTCTAGGATGCTACTACTTGAATAAACTCAACTTGCTTAGATTTCTACCACACATAACTTTACATAGTTCATGAAATTAAAGAGGAAAAACTCAAAATTCAAAATCATCATATTTCACCCGCACGCATAAATCCAGCAAAGAGGGACGCTTTTTATAACTACAACTACTAAAATGCTCACACATGAAATTAACAAGAAGTAAAGTTTGAAGCATCAAACCTGAGCTGGCAACGACAGAGAAGGGGAAGAGGAAAAGAGTCGACAGAAGCAAAGGAAGAAGAAGCTCAAGCACCCCTGGCAGCACCTACAGCAACCCACCGATAAAGAAGGAATAAGAAGGAAGTTTTTCTTTTTCCCGATCACCCACAGCCTCAAGTGACTCAATACCTCACAAACACCAACAGCAAAGAGACTACGCGGGAGACAAAGAAATGACGAGGAGGATGATGGTGATGCATGGGAATAGAAGAACCGTGTCAGTAAGGAATAACAGAGGGGGTGAGAATTTCTTTTCCGGCTTATCCACATCACCGATGATGACAGTAAATGGTGAAAGAAACAGAGGAAAGTCGAGTATGGGAAGATCTAAGCTCGCTCTCGCTCTCTCTCTTTCTCTCGGCTGGTCTTAGAATTACCAACGATAGAAATGGGAAAGATCAACATGAATTGGGAAAAAAAAATCACGAACCATGGCAGCACACATACAGCAGCATGCAAACAGAGAGGGATCAAGGAGGAAGTTTCCTACTACTCACGGTTTTGGATAGCAACAAGCAGAATGGAAGAAGCTATGAGTTTAACAAACCCCCCGCCATGGCAACGATCGACAGTGATAAATTGCAGGGAAGGAAGAAGACGAAATTGAATCAATGACAAGAAGATTCAGAGGCTGACAGGGTGATCGACCAAGTATTAGATACTTGAACCACAGCGCTCGCTCACATGACTGACGATCTGAACAGTGGCGAACGATGGATGGAGGAAGCAAATGAAGGACGATCTCTCTCTCTCTCTCTCTCACTTGGTCTAGAATTTTCCATAGATAGAGGTGAAAAGGAAGCCCGATTTATGTCTGCCATTTTTATCTCTTTTTTTAAGGGGCAAAAATGGTAATTTAAGTAATAGAGGAAAAATAAAATAAAAATAAAAATCTCAAATGCAAAACTTTAATGATAAGAACTAACAAAAATTCCACTACACCACCAATGCATGTTGTTGTTATATTATTTTTTTTCAACAATTTATAAAAATACAATAAAATTATCTTATTATTTAATCTAGCTTTATTATTATAATATGGGTTATTACATATCAGATCACGAACCAGACTGAAAATCAAAAGAGAGGAAATGGTGAGCACGAGAGGAGCGACGGAGAGGAGTTTATGGCTGCTAGGGCTTGCTTTCAATGTGATTTTAAATGCCTTACAAGATTGATATATATTGGGTAAGTCTTCCTTTCTTCTCCTTCTCCCTCTTTTATGTAAAATTTTTGACTTAAAAGGTATGTGGGGCTTGTTTCCAGTTGTTGTTAGGTTTAAACCGAACCTATTAGCTTATTTAAGATCTTGGGGAGTTAAATCAAACCTGTAACCCAAGGTTTATGAGCTTTATAGTAATTTAGAATCTTTGGTTAGGGTTTAAACGAATCCTATATTAGAAATTAAAGGTTTTAGACAATGTGAATAATTGGATAGTGATTTTGGTAGGTTGGGATGTTTAAGAGGATGGTTAGAGTATTTTAAAATGGTTGGTGTTGTTAGATGAGGAATTTGTGTGATGTGGGTACTTAGAACCTTGTGAATTTAGGGTTTATCCAGGGTGATAATTAATATTTATCGCTTAATTATGTAGATTAAGTGTTACTTGAGCCATATCATGCATATAGAGCATGTGGAGCTAACGTTGAGCCGGGATAACCTTTTTGTGTGACATAGGGTCGAGGTAATGAAATAATTTACACTATGTGATTATATTGCTTAGCTATTTGTGAGTAGATATATTAATTTGTTACTTGAGATTTGATAACCTTGCATATTACGAAATGTGATTTTGTGCATGTAAATCTATTTGCAAATGATGAGAATGGTGAAAGTTTTATATACACTTGTTGTGAAATTTGAAGTGTATATGTGTTATCTGTGTCGAGTGTTAGCATGATCATATTAGGGGGTGAGAATTCACTCGTAGGAAGGAGTAGTAGAAATCCCTATAACATGTATCTCCTTAATGCCTAGTAAGGCACGGCATTGGAGAAAGTCTCTTAGTATCCATGTGGGATATGGTATTAGAGAGTGATACTCCTTAGCATCAGTGATACAGTGTTAGAGTAATGACACCCTGATTCATTTGTGATAGGTGGGGACTATAGTCCAGAAGTAGGATAGGACACCTTTAGCTGGGTAATCCTACCACCAAAAGTGAGCTCGTATCATTGTGAATGTGCACTTAGTTTAAGAGCCTATGGTTTCAGTCGAGGTGATATGGAGGCTCTGATGGTATAACGATTATGCTAGTGATAAAAGATTTGGGCTCATAAAAAAGAGTATGTTGTAATATATTAAAAGTATCTTTTAGTACTTAATAGCTTTACTACCTTATGGTTGTGCATGTTGATTAATAGTAGTAAACTATTTTATTACTGAGACATTTATCTCACCCCGTGGTTATATTTTATAGGTGAGGGCTCTAGTAAGGGCAAGGGGAAGGAAGGGGTGACTAAAGAGTGAAGAGCATTATTGTGTAGCTCTTTCCTTTCTTCTTTTTAGGTTTGTAATGAATATTGATATTATATAATGCCAACTTAAGAACATTACATTGTTTTGTTATCACTTGTATAAGAATATGTGAAGTGTGTGTACCTTGGCCCAAGGTTGATATTGCTATGATTACATGTATGTGCTTGGAGAAGATAAAATTACAAGTGATATAATCAAAGTGATTTATGCATCAAATGACCAAATTGATATGTGTGTTAATTTTTATCCACCCCTTTATGTTGTTGTGAATTAGGGGTTTAGTGGTCATTTTGAGTATGAATTCTTATATGTGTGATATAATTAATTTGTCATGTTGTGTGTGGTCTATTTGAGGTGTTCAAAATGATTCCTGAGCTAATGACATTTAGTAGTGTGTTTTGAACACCTTTGAAAGTGTTTTAAAGTGAAAACATACTATTTTGGATTCGGGTGTCCATCTTTTTTAATGGATGATTATTTGAGTGTGAGACCACTGCCATTAGCTAGAGGGATCGAAGAGCTTCATATGAACACTTGAACTGCTCAAATCAAACGTTGGATGGCAAAATGGCATGCTTCGAAAGTTCGTAGTGTTGTGATGACAGCAATTTGCTGTCATGATAGTAGGTGCATGCCACAGCACATAATGCCTTCCAAAGGACTTATCCCTCTGTGCCATCCACAACGGTGAGTGTGGCTTGTATCATGGCGGACAAATCAACTTTTTGAAAAATGACTTGTATCAACTTGTTTCAATATATGTAATTGATTTTAAACTATGGTTTGAGCTCAAACAACATTTTTAAAATGATTTTATTAGGATCCCATTGTTTTAAACTATCTTTTAAACCCTTAGGTTGTGATAACTTTTACTTGAAATTTTATCCAATCCTATTCATCACAATGGCGTGTAAGAGTGTTGTCTGAGTAATATCAAGGTAGACATTATACTTTGTGATATCTATTTTGATGTTTAAATGTAGGAGAGGTATGACCCTTTCCATTAGGTTTAAAATTAGGTTTGTTTTCTTGGTTTCTTTTTCAAAATAAAAGGGTTTTTGATTCTTGAATTATGTGTTTAGTTTAGGTCTAGTGTTTTAAAAAAATTTTCCCTTGCATTTTTCATGCATACTTTTGTGAAAACATTGTCTAAGGACATGTGTATGCATACATTAAAGACAATGCATGATTTAAGTGTGGGGGAAGACAAAAATATTTTATTTTTGCTTTTTGAAAAAATTTGGGAAAATTATAAAAAAAATTATTTTGTTTTGTCTTAGTTTATTTGAGAAACTTGTTTTGGATTTTTTAAAACTTACACTCTTGAAATGATGTTGCATTAGTTGTTTTACCTTGTTAAATTAGTTTTCTTTTAGATCATGTGCAATTGATTAAAGAGGCAAAAACCCTAATAGGTAGGAGCTAAACACTTTTATATGATTGTCTTTAACATTTATGCCTTCTAGAACTTGTTTTTCCTCTTAATCAAAGCTGTATCATTGCGTTTGTTGCAAAGAAGATGATAATGGCATTTATTAAAAATAGTCAAGAGACTTAAAAGGCCAACCCTAATGGATTGATCACCCTTTTTGTCAACCTTTTGTTTATTTTATTCATTTCTTAAACATTATCCCTCTTTCACCATGGAATGCATGTATTGTTTTTAAAGTTTGTTTCAACACTCTCATCTTTCTTTGGTTTAACTTAGTGGATATAACTCATTTTCTCATCTTTCATTTTTTTCATCATTCCATTTCATTCAAAGAACAAGTGTATTATTCTCCTATTACTTGATGCCTAAAATGACAAGGAAAAAAATAAAAATAAGAAAAAGCAAAAAAATGATGAGAAAACTGAAAAGAAAAAGTTTGAATAAAATGATTGATACTTGAGTTACAAGTCACATGTTTTGTTTTTTTTGTTTTTTTTTTTTTGCTTTTCACATCTATTTCACTTACATTTCCATCCATTTTTCACTTTGCATCCACTTAGTGAAGTCTAAGAAAGATTTGAATATTGTTGCATATACACATTGTGGCTAAGACTTAATTCCTTGAACGAAACCTTAACTTTCACATGCAAATCCAAAAACATCTATTTCACAATCACATTATATCCCATTAAAGTCCATTTGATTCTTAAGAAAATTTGTCATATTAGTAGTGGAGAGGTAGAGGGATTACAAGCTTGTGGTAAAAAAAATTTTAAAAAACTTTCAGTGAAACTGTTAAACCCTAAACACTTAAATGCTTGAGTGCATATACTATCTTTGTGAGGCTCTCTCTATGAAACTGCATCTTTCTAAAGGTTTGCTTCTGGTTGATGAGGTATTTTAGTGAGGGTAGCAACATCTCTTGTGTTTTTGTAAAAAATTTCCTTGACTTTTAACTTAATTACCATGGACAAGTTATTTTGTTTTACTTTGTTCTTGTTTTAGGATTTTGAGAGAATTTGTTTTTTTTGTTTTGATCTTGCCCGAAGTGCAAAAGGTAAGTGTGAGAAAATTGATAAGTTACATTTATTACACACTTTCCCTTGTTATTATTGATCAAAAATTGTAACATCCCAATTTAAATTTTAATAGTTAATTTGGTTAATAGAAATTTTGAAAAAAATATTTAGAGGTAAGCAAATTAGAAGGAGATGATTGTTAAATCTAATCAGGATATAATTCTAAATTAAAATTTAAAAAAATAATAATTAATTAATTAATTAAAAAATATTAAATTATTATTATTATTATTAAAAAAAAGAAAATGTATAAAGAAAGAAAGAAGAAGAAGGAAAAGAAGAAATCGTGCTTTCGGTGCTCTCCCACGGCAATCATGACACATATATATATAATAATAATAAAAAGAAGAGAGAGGAAAGAGGAAACAAAAAAAACATGTGGGACCCGCAGTATTTTTTTTTATAAAACCACCCTCCTTCCTTCATTTCTTCATTTCATCCCTATACGCGAGCTGAGGCAGAGAGCGAGCGAGAGAGCGAGCGACATTGATGGAGAGGCTGACTGATTTAGAAGGTGAAGCTCCATAATAGGATACTTCATATGAGATTTTAAGTATTCTAAAACTAGGTAAGTGTTCTAAATATTTTTCTTAGTCATATTTTCTCTTTAGTTTTTGATTTTGTGGTGGTAGAAAATTTAGGATTTGGAAGAGGGATGAATTTATGTTGAATAAATATGGTTTTGAGATTGTTAGTAGTGTAATAAATATTCTAGAGTATTATTTTGTTGATAGAATTGGAATTTGAGACATTTGAGTTTATCCC